CACTTCAATAAAGTAAGTTTCATTTATTCTTCATTTAGTAGAGTAGTACTCACAATATAAACTGTGCATGTACTACTCTACTATTGTCATTACCTTCTCTTTGTTGTAAAAATGTATATTTCATTTGGGTAAAAATTTTTTTCATCTTTTGGGTGTCTTGCACTGATTAATTTGATTTCCATTATTTCTTATGGGGAAAATTCATTCGCATAACGATAATTTCGCATAACAATGAGCTCTCAGGAAAGGATTAATATCGTTATGCGGGGGTCCACTGTAATAATAATCACCGAGTCTCATTAAATGTCGTATATTACGTTAATATACACATTTTCATTAATCCATCCATGATATTTTTTCAAAACTATATAATAAACATGATACATAACATATAAAGATGATAAATACACCCTACAAGAGAATAAATAAACAAATATGAGATGTGGTAGCCAGATAACTTGTACAAGTGATGGCAAGAATAACATTTTCTCTATTCTAACATAAGAGAAAATGTGTTACTGGGGCTAACTGTAGAAAATTATTCCTTTCGTATGTATGTAAGTTTATTCAGGTATACACAAATACAGTTACATAGATTATCATACATAACAGCATATGTGTAGAGAACCTAGGATAACCCAAAAAAGTCAGAGTGACTTATTTCCATTGCCTTCACTCAGAGCGTCATTTCTTCTCAAAATGATGCTACGTGAGAATGGGAGTGTTCTTCTTTATTTATTCTACCGTATCAATGTAGAGACAACCTGTACACAAACCAGACATGTACACTTTGTTTACAAAACTTACCTTCGCCTGGTTTGTTTACATAACTCTGCGCCTGCACTCATTCTTTCTCTCTCTCATTTATTCATTTTATCTCATTTACTTACTCCTGACCCTACATTAAGATTACAAATATTTTAAGGTAAGTAATAAGTGAACTGTATATACATTTTATCGCTCTGGGATGCTTAAATATCATAGAATATATGTGTGGGTGGGTTGGCCTGGTATGGTAGCCCGGCTGACTACCATACATACCGCACTTGATTTCTTACAATAAATGCTACTTATCTCACCCTAGATTAAGACTACAAACATTTTAAGGTAAGTAATCAGTAAACTGTATATGAATTTTATCGCTCTGGGATACGTAAATGTAATAGAATATTATGTGTAGGTGGGGTGGCCTGGTATGGTAGCCCAGCTGACTACCATACATATCACACTTGATTTCTTACAATAAATACTACTTGTCTCACCCTAGATTAAGACTATAAATATTTTAAGGTAAGTAATGAGTGCACTGTGTGTGTATTGTACTTTTTTATTGTTTTTTGATGCCTAGTTCTATTGCTAACTTAATATATAGTATTTGTATTCATTTATAAGGGGAAAAAAAGGGTGTTCCACTTTACGGCGATTTCCGGTTTACGGCGGTAGCCTGGAACCTAACCTGCCATATAAGTGGGGCTGTACTGTAAAGGCAAAGGGGATAAAAGAGAGTGCAAAAATTATAGGGGAATAAGTCTGTTGAGTATACCTGGTAAAGTGTATGGTAGAGTTATTATTGAAAGAATTAAGAGTAAGACAGAGAGTAGGATAGCAGATGAACAAGGAGGCTTTAGCAAAGGTATGGGGTCTGCAGACCAAGTGTTTACAGAGAAACATATAGGTGAACAGTATTTAGATAAGGCTAAAGAGGTTTTTGTGGCATTTATGGATTTAGAAAAGGCATATGACAGGGTGGATAGGGGGGCAATGTGGCAGATGATGCAGGTGTATGGTATAAGAGGTAGGTTACTGAAAGCACTGAAGAGTTTTTATGAGGATAGCGAGGCTCAGGTTAGAGTATGTAGGAGAAAGGGAGATTATGTCCCAGTAAAAGTAGGCCTTAGACAAGGATGTGTGATGTCACTGTGGTTGTTCAATATATTTATACACGGGGTTGTAAGAGAAGTGTATGCTAGGGTCTTAGCAAGAGGTGTGGAGTTAAAAGATAAAGAATCAAACACAAAGTGGGAGTTGTCAGAGTTGATCTTTGCTGATGACACTGTGCTTTTGGGAGATTCTGAAGAGAAGTTGCAGAGGTTGGTGGATGAATTTGGTAGGGTATGTAAAAGAAAAAAATTAAGAGTGAATATAGGAAAGAGTGAGGTTATGAGGATAACAAAAAGATTAGGTGATGAAAGACTGGATATCAGATTGGAGGGAGACAGTAAGGAGGAGGTGAATGTATTCAGATATTTAGGAGTGGACGTGTCAGCAGATGGGTCTATGAAGGATGAGGTGAATCACAGAACTGATGAGGGGAAAAGGGTAAGTGGTGCACTAAGGAGTCTGTGGGGACAAAGAACTTTGTCCGTGGAAGCAAAAAGGGGAATGTATGAGAGTATAGTTGCACCAAAACTCTTGTATGGGTGTGAAGCATGGGTGATGAATGTTGCAACGAGGAGAAGGCTGGAGGCAGTGGCGATGTCATGTCTGAGGGCAATGTGTGGTGTGAATATAACGAAGAGAATTCGTAGTTTGGAAATTAGGAGGAGTGGGATTACCAAAACTATTATCCAGAGGGCTGAGGAGGGGTTGTTGAGGTGGTTCGGACATGTAGAGAAAATGGAACAAAACAGAATGACTTCGAGAGAGTATAAATCTGTAGCGGAAGGAAGGCAGGGTAGGGGTCAGCCTAGGAAGGGTTGGAGGGAGGGGGTAAAGGAGGTTTTGTGTGCAAGGGGCTTGGACTTCCAGCAAGCGTGCATGAACGTATTTGATAGGAGTGAATGGAGACAAATTGTTTTTAATACTTGACGTGCTGTTGGAGTGTGAGCAAAGTAACAATGATGAAGGGATTCAGGGAAACCGGCAGGCCGGACTTGAGTCCTGGAAATGGGAAGTACAGTGTCTACACTCAGAAGAAGGGGTGTTAATGTTGCAGTTTTATAACTGTAGTGTAAAACACCCTTCTGGCAAGACTGTGATGGAGTGAATGATGATGAAAGTTTTTCTTTTTCGAGCCACCCTGCCTTGGTGGGAATCAGCCGATGTGTTAAAAAAAAAAATAAAAAATATAAAATATAAAATAACTTCTTTAATCACCTGAAATTTCGTAAAATTTCCAGGCATAATGAAGAGACATGGTCCTCACGGAGCTCACGGAGCCCATGGAGAATGTAAACAAACTGGGTGGGGCATGATGACTGTATTAGAAAGTCAGGTGGGGGAGCCGTATAGCGAGTTTTGGACATAATTTGAAATGTCCATATTAGCGGAACGCCATAAAGCAAAACGCCATAATGTGGGGCCCTACTGTACATTTATATACCAGTATGGTTTTTCTCTAACCTCATTAGCTTTGGTATTCACAATAAAGAATGTCATGAAAGGAGAGATTGTTATGGGAAATTCACTGAGGGCATTAAGAGTGAAATAATATCTTTGGTTTTTAATTTGGTGATCATGTCTTAATAGAAAACAAACTGGGCACCATGATGCATCAAAGATATTCACTAGAGATGCCTTAATAAAATGCTGGATAATCGATGCACTGTACAAGAATTTGAAAGTCTCCAAGTTTGGTGATTCAACTTTACTTTTGATATAAAAATTGAAGAATACCATATATGAGAAATCAGCCTCTACAATTTGTGGAAATGGTAAAACACATAATTATAACAAAAAAATATTTTTATAGTTCCATTACTGGAATAAAAGACATTATTTGCACTAATACCCCATACTCTGAAGCAATGATATAAATTATTAATTTTTCATAACTTACCAGAAATATAATTTCAATAATAGATTATTTACAATTATGTTACATAATGTAAATAAACAGGAAGAGCCCTCACTGTTTTATTTCTGTTAAGGAGTCCAAGAGGGCCCACCTGGAAAGTCATGCACCATTCATATCTAGTCATCTCTCAGGTCCCAGTAGTGTCCATTACACACCTCAAGACCATTTTACAATACCATTCATCAGCACTGGTTCAGGCATAGTTACCTGGCATTCCTATGTTGTCACTGGTGATTCAGGGTTCCCTTGTACTTTGGCCTTGTCCTCTACATATTTAGTGCCCTTTCTGTAGCCTTATCATTTCTTCAATGTTGTTCATGAAGTGATCACTGAAGTATCTTTTCACCAATATTGTGCCCTGCACCTTGGTCCTCTTAAGTGTTGAATCTTCTCTCCTCTGCTCCTTGTGTCAGTTTCCTCAATGATTGTTCCTGGTTTGCTGGCTGCTGCTCTGGGATTGTAGGCTCTTCCTTGACTACTTTCTTTTTTTTTTTCCTCTCTCCTGCTTGGTGTACAAGGTACTTCATAAATCTCCTGTATGTGCCCAGGTCTTCGGCTACTGCAAGTACCTGGTTTTGGCACTACACTCTCATTAGCAGCCATCCCTCATCTTTTGGCTCTCCTGCCAGGTGCCACTTACCTGGCACTATGCCTATCCTCCATCTCTGGTTCATGGGATCTTCTCCCAGGGCCTCCTCTTTTTTTTTTTTTTTTTTCCTGAAAGTAATACCTTTATCAAATTCTTCTGAGGTGTGTGATGGAGAGGTTACTGCTGCTCTGGACCCTCTCTCACTTGTCTTGTTTTGAAGAGTTGTCATCCCAGGCCAGACCTATGTGCCACTCACACATACTGTAGGTGCCTACCTCTCTCACAAGTACCCCAGCAGTAGTCTGCTAGCTGCAGGATCAATCCACCACCACCACCACCACCACCACTATCATCATCATCATCATGCAACATTCTACCTACAGGAAATTAGTAAGGCCCCTTATCAATTCTTTTCATTCCATGGGAAGAGTTTAGAAGTGACTGAGGCATGACTCACTCCGGGTGTGCACTAGGTGCAGAAAAGCACCTATCAAGAAAACAGTTTTACAGAAAATCCCTCAAAATATACAAATTATAAGTATTTCTTGAATAACTGGTTACATTTACAAGCACTTCAGAATATGGGATGAGAAAGTTTGTAACAATTATTCTGAC